TGTGTGTGTGTGTGTGTGTGTGTGTGTGTGTGTGTGTGTGTGTGTGTTTGTGTGGAGAAGGGAGTGCTGGGAGCTGTCCACTGGTGCTGAAAGAGAGCTCATTAATGAGAAAGGGAGCACACTGAGAATGTGTTTGTAAGAGATTTCACAGTCAAGCAAGTGAAGAAACCCGACCTTTTGGTTGAAGTCATTTAGCTTGTTTTCAGTGCAGCTTCAGCTCCAGTGGAGAACTTCAAAGGGATATGAATACTTGAGAAGCTTTCCAAATATACTTTACAATAATGTGTTTCATACAAATCCCTTCAAACACTTCTCTTTGAGTCCCACCAACAAGTAAAGACAGACAGTAGCCACCTGAATTAAAAGGACATGTGATGAACAAGTGGCTGCATTGTTTGGTCGTGCACCTCTGAATTTTTCACGTGCGATTTCATTGATTTCACTGATAAAAGCAATATGTACCTGTCTGTGGATTATTCAAAGAAGGCCAATTTGTTTTTATATGCTTTAGAAACAGGAGGTCTTGAAAACAAAGCTTAAAGCTTTCCAAATAAACTTGGTTTGACATAAATAATCAGAATTTTTGTCTCAAGAGCCTCCAGGATAAGCTATGTTTTGCATTTGACGTGATGGCAAACATTTGTCACTTACTGTTTCATACAAAGCATGATACTATTTCAATAGGCGAAAAATACTGGAACTTTCCTTGATGCAACATCAAACGAAACACGGAAAACATCACACAAGTAAAAAGATAGTATTAGCAGCTATAAAATGAATACCTTCTGCATTTTTAAAGCCAACGCAAGACAAAAACTCAGCCACAAAATAACCAAACAAACTTAATTTCAGACGGTCAATAAACTGTCCAGTATTTGACCTTTTTACTGGCCTTTAATGGCATTCGCTCTAATGGGCGCTAACATATTTTCTCTGTGACCACCTGCGGCAGGATGTGAAATGGAAATGTTCCATTCCTCAGTAAATACATCAACATCAGCTGTAGGAGCTCAACTGACAGGCGTATGGGCTGTGTGTGGCGGCAGCCTTGGCTTGGTGCCGACACAAGCTGGTGTTGCATATGGCCGAGACGTATAACACGGGAACATGGAGGGGGGAACTACAGCGAGAGGGAGGACGAAGAGGCCCGGCTGTATGAGGTGAATACAGATAGAGGCATTACAGCAGATGAGGACTTTGGGACTTGTTTGTTAAAATGGGCGCATATGTCCGTGTGTGTGTGTGTGTGTGTCTGCATAATGTCATCATCTGAGTATACAAAGCTACAGTGCAAACATAACACAGTCGGAATGTAGCTGTCAGACAGAAAGGAGCGAAAAACAGATTTCATTTTTTTTAGGTGTTATCCGTCTCTCTGTAGATTTGGCATGCAATCTGTCCGCTGCTCTGTTTACCTGTTGAGTCATGATACTTAATATGTTTTATAATATATCATACCTCATTTCAAGCATGCTGGATCGAACTGCATTCAACATCGCAGTATGGCATGTAGCGGAAGGTCGACTTACCGCAAAATGAACAGAGCCTTCAGCCGCATCTTAGTGCGCTTTTCAGCAAAAAGAGTATGCTTAGTGGCCCAGGAGATGGTACAGTGTGGAACTTCAGTTATATGTTAACAGGTGGTTGTATCTGGAGAAGGGGGAATTATGTCCCGTGTTATAATGAGGCCTCTGGCTGTGTACAAAACACTGCATTTACTACTGAAATCAGTCGTCTTGAAAGTCCCGGCTCTAACCTATAACATAGAGGTTAGGTCTTTCAGCAGCATCCCTCAAAAGCTCATGAATGGATTTCCATCAAATTAGCCGGAGCAGACAGGCTTCATGCCATAGAGCAGTTGATTCGATTTCGGTGGTGATCTGGATCTCGGATTTCCACCCTCTGATGATAATCCTTTTTTTTTTTCTTTTTTTTTCAAGCCACAACTTAAATAGAGACTCTAAATCCTCAGGGTGTGTTCGCACGGTGAAGAAATCAATTTGTAGATGTAAGAGACGACTGATATCTCCGGTTGTAACAGCAGGCCGGAGAGCTGTGCAGCCTTAACAGAGTCTACGAGTGTCTCTCCTCTGATTACTCAACACTGAACAGTAGACCAGGCAGAGACTTGACCGCATGGCTTTGAACCATTACTGTAAACTTTTTGAATTGTACGCAGCGGGAAAAACGTCTTTTTTTAAGTTAATGTTCTGATCTTGTGAACTCCTTAATAAAGAAATGTGCTTTGAAATGTCGATGATGGTGATTTCCTTTCTCAAACCACTCTCTTCTGTGGAGATCTTGTAAGAAAATAGTTCTTGCAGTCGATTATCGATTTCCCTTCCCAGAGCTGCCACGGTGTGGTGCCCGCTCGGAGACTGGTTTCCCAGCAAGTGGGTTGCCATAGCAACAGGTAGCCGCGTAGTCATGGCGGCCGTCGAGGGCAGGGTGGTGGCAGTAGGGAGGGGAGGGAGATGGAGGAGAGGTGAGGATGGTGTGTGGGGGGGGTGTAGAAAGCAGTGGCAGACTATTAATAGAGCTTATCGGGAGCCAGCTGCGGAAAGCTGCGGTCACATGGCACCTTGTCAGATACATCCGAGGAAAACACACGCTGTGTGTGTGTGTGTGTGTGTGTATGTGTGTGTGTGTGTGTGTGTGTGCGTGTGTACGAATGGATGTTTTTCAGATTAGACTAGTGCAGAGCCCATTACCGAGATGGATTCACCTCATGTCCACATGACGCCAGTGCTGCGGTTGTTGATGTCAGGGTCAAAGGTCACTGTCATTTGAATTCATTACAGACAATAGAAATTATTGAAATAGTTTTAATTAGTAATCATGATTAAACGTAAAAGCTTTGTAAAACACTTTAAAATGACAATTAAAATTGAGTTAATATTGACAATATTGTCAACTGAAATAACTTCGGGGACGGGCTAACTTTTCTATGTAGCACCATCATCGGGTTTTCTCTCTGCGGTTTGTGATCAAATTCCAGCGAAACTAAATGACATTCCCACCGTCCTCTCCTGTGTTGTGTGTTTAGTGCTAATTAGCAAATGTTAGCATGACAGCACACTGAACTAAGAGGATTGTTTGCATGGTAAACATACTTGCTAAACATGTGAGCTTTGTCATTGAGAGCATGTTCGCATGCAGAGGTTAGCATCCAGCTCAAAGTACAACCCCACAGAGCCCGTAGTGTGGCTGTATGTATTCGTATGTTTGTGACGATTTTGAGGATGAAAGGAGTTAATATTGCTTTTTATCCCATATTTTATTTGAGATATTGTTAAGGCTGATTGGTTAATGTTAGTGTGGGTTATTTGTGATGGTTCAGCTTATAGACCTGCCCCAATGGGTTCATATGTGGTACATTTTTCATTTATGTCATACAAATAGATCCTTTTCATATAAGCCAGCATTTACTTTGAGAACAAGGAACATCTACTGTAAAACGCTCGATCTGAGTCACCTTGCTTCGAAGAATCTCCTGCTAAACGTTCTCTCTCTCTCCCTCCCTCCCTCCCTCCCTCCCTCTCTCTCTCTGTAGGTATTGCCTCTATGACAGTGCCAGTGTACATCGCTGAGGCCTCTCCGCCCCACCTCAGGGGTCAGCTGGTGACGGTTAACACCCTCTTCATCACCGGCGGACAGTTCACTGCCAGCCTCGTCGACGGCGCCTTCAGCTACCTGCAGCGCGACGGCTGGAGGTCAGGCGCAGAGCACCTCACGCACACACAGACGATGTATTAAGTTACAATTTAGACGGATAAAAGGGATAGATAGGTCTGCATAAATACACTTGAGGTACTTTTCAAAGGAGCCCCATCTCCTTTTGTCATATAGTCAGATAGGATATCAGCGTCTTTTTCATATCAAATGCTAGAAAAAGTCGGGCTGGCACAAAACCCTCATTCCAAATGTCAACACGTGCACAGGTCATCCCCTAACATTTGCTGAAAGCAGCTGTGCTGTACGTTTGAAAGATACAGTGTGCCTCTCTCTTTGTCCTTCTTCTCAGTCTGTTCTGCCTCTGTGTGCATCTTTTCCTGCTGTCACACTGAATGCAGGTTTACAGCCTCCAGAGTGTTTGAATGTTGCACTGTGAAGATACTTTAGATTAGAATCGTCCTTTTCACAAGGATTTGCCTCAACTACGTCTCTGATGGAGACGGCGACGATCGTTTAGAAGCACCTAGATTGCTGTGATTCATACACGATAATGGCTTTTGGGGAGGCGCTTATTGAGTTTAGAGTATGACTGTTGTCGGATTGACGTCTTTGCCTGTGCAAAAGAAGAAAAGCAATGTACGTCAGGGTGTTTACCTCAGTAAAAATGTAAGAATAGTTTTTCCCTCACTCTTTGGAGTTTTGAGCTGCTTCTCCACTTCTTCTTCCTCTTAAGATAAAGCTCTCTAACATCATCATTATCGCAGTCTTTTTTTTTGTGCTGTACCCTCTTATTCTTTGCCTTCGCCACTTTATATTTGTCGAACAACCCCTTCACCCAATGCGATGAACCCTGATTGTGTGCATGAGCGGATACAGAGAGGCTATAATAGTTCAGTATATCAGTGGTTTTCTCTGGGTAAAGGTACTCTGTCGTGGTGTTAGAAATCAGCGCGTTTAAAAATGCTGTGTACGTTTAAGTGTAGGTTTATATGTGCAACACTAATGTAGTATTTCGTACACTCCAACACTCCATCTGTTACATTCAGGGTCAGAGTTAAATACTGAAATGTGAATGTGATGTAGGGTTATTTTAAGGAGCAGAATAAAAATGAATTAAAGCCTTGACATTTTCCCCAGAGTTTAATTTTAATGAACTAAAACTATCTGATGCTTTTTGCTGGCATAATAATATATCTCCACATGAACTTAATGTATTGGCTACCTTTTAACGCCTCCGCATCGGCGACAGCCGTGGCTGGAGGCGTCATGTTTTCGGGTTGTCTGTATGTCCATCCGGTCCGTTCTCGCGACATCTCAGGAACACCTTGAGGGAATTTCTTCAAATTTGGCACAAATGTCCACCTGGACAGAAAATGATGAAGTGATGACATTTTGGACAGACGTGGATGTAGACTGCAACTTGACTGGCCAGCGAAGGCATACAACCGCGAGGCGGTACTTCTAGTTCAACCAATTTCTGTGACTAATGTCAATGGAATTGGAAATCGCATGACATGCCAAGCTTTTCCAAAAACACCAAAACACCTGGTTATGTAGTCTCTGTGATCGTAATTCGTCTCCTCTCTCTCCAGGTACATGTTGGGTCTGTCGGTGGTCCCCGCCGTGCTCCAGTTCGTGGGCTTCCTGTTCCTGCCGGAGAGCCCTCGCTGGTTGATCCAACGCGGGCTGACCCAGAAGGCCCGCCGCGTGCTCAGTCAGATCCGAGGCAACCAGAACATCGACGAGGAGTACGACAGCATCAAGAACAGCATCGATGAGGAGGAGGACAGCGGAGGAGGTAACGGGGGATAAAAGGAGGGAGGATTAGGGAAAGAGAGCAGCACAGGCATTTTGTTTGCTAACAGTACCTACACAGGTATCCATGCAGTGGACGGCTGTTTATTTTATTTTATCAGTTTAGTATGAGTTACCCACAGATATTTGAGTAAGGCCTATAAGCTTACTGACAAAGCACACTGCATGCATTAATTAACACTGCTCTTGCCTGTGCTTGGATCTGAAGGCACAGAAGATACACACAAGGTGAAATTAAGTACATAGTAGTCATTCTGGTCTATCACTAAATTTGAGGTTGTTTAGCAAAGCACCTTTACACAGACTTTCTTAGAGACCACGGCAATAGATGACCAAACATGTTTGAAAAGGGACTCGCAAATTCTTGTGCTGGTGTTATTAACACCTCACAGCTGAGTCACGACCCTGAGCCTTTTCACTCACTCCGACGTCCTCCTCAGTGAGGCTGATTACAGCGTCCATGCCGCCCTCCTGCTCTGCGATGAAGTCCTTCCCACTGACGCAACCACGTGTCGTTCTGTTGCTCTGTTGCAATTCCCTTGACTCCGAGGGCGATGATGGCGACCCGCCAATCAAAGTGTTTGCGGCGTCTATTTCTCATGACTTCCTGTCGACCTTTTGTCCGTCTGCTCCCCTGCGGCAGTCTTTCGGTGACGTTGTAGTCATGTACAGCGGTCAACGCTTCCATCAGCGCAGCAGCCGGCGTGAAGAGCGGTGATATTGTTGACGCTTTCATGAAGCGGATGTAGGTGGAATCCTTTGCCGGTCGCACGGGTTTCATCAAGGCGAATCGGCGCTGTAAATAGAGATCTTTGGTAGAAGGGCAAACAAACAGAAAAGTGGAGCAGGTAAATGTGACGGAGCAGATAGAAAATACTTATTTCATGTTCAATTATCGTGCGGTCTGACCTTTGCTCGGCCACTGGGATGCTGCTATTTGCTGCGAGGCTTTGACAGCGTGAGCAGACAGTATTGAACAAGGTTGTAACTCAGCTTTAGAAGCTAATATTGCTGTTTCATAAGCCAGCTCAGAGAATCGTGAAATATTCTCTTTTTTTCCAAAGGTGTGATTACAGTCCGGTTTGATCTGGCAAATCTTTACTCGACCAATAATCTCTTTTCAATCCCTGCTTCCAAAACAGTACAAGATAAACAAACACACAGTTGTTTCTTCCCACATTACATCATACCCCTTATCTGCCATCTGTTTGAGAGAGTGAAACACAATTAAATCTACAAAAGAGGGACATTATGCACATTCACACACTAAGACCATGCGGTGTCATTATTGCTGCTGTGATCGGAATTTGAATCTTATCCCAAAAAACAGTTACTTCCCCTATTGCTGGAAGTGTTCTATCAAAACTGTAGTCATTGTAATTCCATGTGTTAGAGCCAAAAGGCACATTTTCAACGGTTGTCCCCGCGACCGGATATTAAAAAATGAGACATTCAAATAACAACAGAGTGATGTTAGATCCTTAACAGATCCTGGATGTAACAGCAGCTATATCAGAGTTTAGATTTCAATTCAGGGAACCAACCCCAGCCAAACTTGAGAGCGTTGCATTCACAATAACATATAAATCTAAACTCTGTATTGTGGAGGCTGATCAAACATGTAGAGGATTATTGTCTAGAAATCTCAAAAAAAAAAAAAAGTTGACATAACAGCAGCATTTATTTAAGTTTTAATGAGTTACTAGCCATCCAATGCTTGATATGGTTTTAGGCAGTCAAACAGGGCATCACATCCGCCAGAGTGTAACAGTGATGGGACACTCTGTGCTTTTTCAAAATCTGGTTTAGAGGAAACATGAACAAAGAAAATAAAATATAGCTAAGCACTGATACATGTGGTACACCATAAGAAAGAGGGGCAGGGGCAGACAACAATGGTCCACAGAGGAGAACCATTAGATTGCGGTGCCTGAAATGCCCACCCAGCAGCAACAGCATTTAATATTGCGCAGCCTTTGACTTCTGCAGACAGCAGCGGCTAATTCGTGACTTTGAGTACTGCAGAGCTGTGCTTTGCATGGGAACCAGATATAAATATTAAAAAAGGTTTTCAACCTTTTCAAGTATCTTTGATTGGAAAAGGAAGTTTTGAAATCAGCTTCAAATGTCAGGTATTTCTGAATTCCTTTAAAACTTTCTTCTCTGAAGTGAAGTCAAGCCTGAGAGGAAGTTTGAAATGACTACTTCTGCCGTCATAGCACACAACCCCTTAACCAAATGCCTCTTCAATCATACAAGCGTGGTCATCTGCATGTACAAATTTGGATGCAATACTTCCATTTCTCAATTGCGATGGCAACAACTTCCAACGCCTGCGGTGAACATCAAAGTGTCTGGTTCTGCGATGAGCAGAGCCAGGAGAGTAATGGAGGTAAAGAGAGTGGAGATAGGAGAGTCGATTAACGGGCAGGAGAGGACAAGTGGGCAAAAGGCTGAAAGAAGAGTAAAAAAAAAAAAGGGGGGGGGGAGGGGATGAGGATAGGAGAGGAAATTGGTTTGATCCCGCAACTAATCAACCGTGACAACAGAGAACACCGTGTCTCTGGAAGGAATGGCGTCCATAGATCCCCAGGTCCATGTGGCCTGCTCTGAAGAGGAGACTTTATCACACACACATAATCACATGTCCCTCTTGTGGGACTCAGTGTGTGTCCAGCAGTTTCCTTTTTTTTCCATTTCAATGTCTCTTCCTCCTCACTGTAGCTCACCGCTGCAGTCATGATCGGTGGCTGCGGGAAGGCTCCTCTCACCGCCCGCTTGTTATCTTGTCGCCAGTGTTTAACACTTTGATTCAACGTGAAATACAGTAATGGACCCGATGTACAGACTTTTAGGAATGTCGTCGTCTCGCTTGAGTTTGTTTCAAGTTTGGACTTCTCTGTAATTCCGATTAGTGTGGCAGAACATTGAAGTGGTTTCTGGTTTCCTTTCATTGGGTTTGGGTTAGAATGAGGAAGGATCTGGAAGATTGAATCGCCACATTAATACCAAATGAGTTCTATGATCACAGCTTGCTAATCAACTCACTTTCCACTTTCCAAACACTCTTTACTTTGCACTAAAACTTCACACTGGCTGGCTGTTCCTTCTCATATCGAATAGTTTGTGCACTCTGCAGCCTAATTGCCAAAGGTTTATGCTGCTCGATTATCTCAAAAAACATCAGAAGGATTTGTGGTTGTGATCTGGCTGTAAATTCACCTCTTCATCCTCTGCTCAGGTAGACTTTACTTCACTATATTACAATTAGTTGTTTGATGCATTATTAATGCTGTGAATTTGGCACCTTTAAGTTTAATAGGGGGTATGTAAGACATTTTTTTTTATTTTGTCAACTCGCTTAGCAAAAATCGAACAGTCCCAGACTAACATTGGGAGGTTTTTGAAACTTCTAACAGATGGAACTTTGTGGGGAATCAGGCAGAAAGGGCAGAAAATACATGACACAACATGATTTCCTCTTTATAACTATACTTTGACCTTTCACCAGAACAGAAGATCGGTGTTGCTCATGTCTCCCCTCATTCTTCCAAATTCAGTGTAGTTCTTCAACGACAATGTTTGGTCTCAAAGTTCCTCGCGACTAAACCCAAAGTGAACAAACTTTGAATGTGTGGCCCCCATCTCTGCCACATCATTTCACACCTGCACCGCTAGTATGTTTGCAATGTGCATGCTCTTTTTAGAGCTGACGTGTGACCTGGAGACCTGCTGTCGCCTAGCTACCAGACAGACAGACAGACAGAGAGGACAGAGGCATTGGTAGACAGAAAGACAGAGAAGGAAGATTCAAAGCTATTTATTCTGTTGCTGACTCTCCTGAGTGACAGCAGGACGTTCTTATACATAGCAGAGAAAGCAACTGGGGTTTGATGCTGCCATATATGGCTATCTGAATATAGAAGTGTACCGTAAGTTGCAGATGAATATTTTTACATAAAGTGTCACTTAACAGAGAACATCAGTGGTCATGATGAAGTATGGACTTTCAAAATCAATAAAAACACAGTTCCTCCTGCAGGTACCGGAGCTTCTTCAGACTCCTGTGAGTGAGTAGGAGGCACTCGTTAATCTACCATAAGAGTGTCCTAAATTAGGAGGCTTTTAGGAAACACCTCTTCAGCTTAAAGGTTTAGTAAGATGAACTTCACAATCATTCAGAGGCTTTTGAGAAACGGGGCCCTCAACAGAAAGATTTGGTCCCATAAAAATAAATTTGTAATACCGTTTGTGTAAACAGTACTGTGATAAACATTAAAGATTGCGAGGCAATGGGAAGGCCGTGATGTGAGTTTTAAGAATAGCAGGTGTTCCATCACTTTTTCTTCTTTGTCCTTTAGAGTACTCATTAAGTGTGTGTGTGTGTGTGTGTGTGTGTGTGTGTGTGTTTGTATTTGTGAGTGTCAGTGTTGTAGTACTCGAGACCAAGGTCTCGTCCCGGAAGCGGCTGCCTTTTTATTCAGCCATGTTACTGTGATTGCTCGTAGGAAACAAAGGAAAATTCCAGACATCTGCATCCACATCTGCTATGCCTTTTGAATATTTTATCGAATCATTTCTTATGAAACACTTACATATATACATATATACAGTATATATTTCTATAAGAAATATGAATGAAGAGGAATCATCATTTGTGTTCTCTGGGTGTTTTTATGGAAATGTGGATCTTTCTCCGGTGCCAGTACATGTTATCGACCCGCACCGGTCTGGTCTCTGTCTGGACTCGGTCTCGACCCCTCAAAGTCTCGGTCTTGTCTCGGTCTCGATACACTCTGGTCTTGGTCATGACTTGGTCTCGGTTTAGGTGGTCTTGACCTTAACGCTGGCGAGTGTGTGTGAACGTTTTCTCACCTGGGAAAAACATAGACGCATTGTGCCCCTTTGCTGACATGTCAGTTGCCATGGAAACACCACTTCACACTTCCCTTTTCCTCTCACCTCGGACGCAACTGTGATTAT